TAACTGATAATGTTCTATTTGAATAAAACAATAATACAAACGTACAAATCGATTTCAGACAATTAGTTCCTAACGTAAATAAAGAAATACCTATACCAACTTTGAAATACGTACAAATTTTAGGTCATAAATTTTCTATAGGAACGATTTTTGTCACAAGATTTACCGATGAGAGTCCCCAGTTTGGAATTATAAAAGAACTTTTCGATTGCAAAAATATTTATTTTCTGGTATTTGATACATTATTTTTTCTGAATTTGATACATTATTTTTTAATCATTATTACCACGCATACACTATAAATTCAAATAACAAGCCGGAAATACTAATGAACGTTCAGTTAATCCCGAGATTGCCACCGTGCTTATACATCGTTAAAAACACAGATGAGTTGATAGCAACAAAGTACAATATAAATGTATATAAAAATTATATTTACTTATATAGTTTTAGTAAATGAATAGAATATTATAATTTAAAAAAAACAATAATATATATGTACATGTATTTCTCATTCTTGTATTCTCCTAAATAAAATGCATAATATATGTATTTCTCTCATATCGGAAATATGTTTATCAATATTTTTCTATTCTATACATGTTTGTAAATAACGCTATTTTTTATCAAAAATTGTCAACGACTGTTCTGCAATGTCAGGATATACGAAACCTTTCGTCACAACTTTTTGGTAAGTACTTTTTAATTATCTAGAGAACATAATTGGTTCGTATAACACATATTGTATAACACATATTGAACACGTATAACACATATTATATAACACATATTGAAAGTAACAATGTATACATTGTATACATTGTTACTTTCGTATTTTTTAGAGGAAGGACTATTAAGAATAACATACAGTTAAGTCGGTATATGTTATACGGACCAATAAATTATGTTCTCTAGATAAAAAGTACTTACCAAAAAGTTGTTGCGCTCATGTGGTTGTCGTAAAAAGCTGTTACGACCAGTGCGCGCATCTTATTCTCTTTTTTCATAGAGATTCCTCGTGCTATGATTACACGATTTCATGCATAAACCGATAAAACGATAGCGCTATTAGCGCACTGAAATATATCATGCGATAGTAGTATAGGCTATTCGTGCCAAAATCGTAACAGATTTCTCTTCGTGTTGTTATAAAAATTAATCAGTTTCGCATCTAACATAAGATAAGATAATAGAATTGTAATAAAATAATATAAAATATTTGCTTATAATAAAGTATGTAATAACGATATCAGATCTATTATTATTGTACATTGTGTAAATCATTTATTATATTATATTTATTACCTATACATGTACATATAATATATATATAATATATATAATTATTGTATATTTTATTACATATTTTTAGAAATAAATATGTTATCTTATTATTATTCTGTTATTGTATCTAACTCAATAAACGCAGATTTTTATACTTACAATTAGTCCATTGATGCGTACAAAATGTATTATAGAAAACTTTTCTACGTAACATGCGTCATAAATTCTTAGCATGAGCTTTTCTTATTCATTGTTCATATTTAACTAGTCATACTAAATTATAGATTTCAACATGTTATTCAATTCTTAATCCGCTACAATTTAAACTGGCTATCTTGGCAGGGAAATTATGCGACTCAATCATCTTGATCAGACCTTGGATATATTTATCTGAGTTGTTTGGCAGCAACAAAATGAATGCGTATCCACCTCCGCCGGTGGCGGCGATTTTTCCTCCGAGTGAAAAATCCCGTGCAATTCCGCAAATAATGTCTAGGCTTGGATGTGACGTGCCTAATGCTCTTAGTAGTCCCTGATTCATGTGAATGATCCTGTAAAGTACGTTAGAAGACGATTAAAGTTGTAGTATTCAGTGTATAGCTACATATACGGGAAAGATAATCACGATAACTCTAAGAGATAATTACAAACAAATGTATTAAATTATATTAAAATTCGTAGAATGAGAGAGACTTACCACTAATACTTTATAATAGTTTATCAGACGAACTGAATTAGTTTCAACGATCTCACGCTGTTTTAAGGATGTGTTTTTGTGTCAATCTTCCGAAGCGTTCGAATAAACTTTTTCGATATAGTCTCGATACTATCTAGAACAAAATCAACGGAAGAAAATAAATGCTCTATCACTTTTATTTCCATGCTTCGCGCGCTTTTCTGGCTAACATTCGAAAAGACCAGCAGGATATTCATGCTTGGCACATCAGGAAAATCATTTGACCTCAGTCCCCTTTGAATACTCTTATCACGTCATACGTGGATATTACGATGTCGATTACAGTTGAGGAATTTTATATAATATCCTCACAAATGTAAGCATATTTTGAGATATGTAGGAGATCTTTAGACCGAAATCTGTAGCGGACTTTTCCTTTCTGCAGGAGGGACCAACGCTAAAAATGACGCCAAAAATGACGCCAAAAATGACGTATGATGCGAGACATACTACAAACGAGGCCGAATTGCCCAGACCATCACCGAGCAATTCCGTTGATAGTTTCACAATGAAAGATGATTTTATAATGATGCCTTTTTTGTAGCTAATAGAAACGAGAAGAAAGAAAAAAGCTTGTGAGCTTAATTGATGTGCATGATTGTTGGGAAAGCTCGTCAAGAAGGTAATAAATTTTTTCACTCTCTTAAACAACTTCAAACGATTCAATGTGTGATTGAATTTTTTATTATAAAAATGTATGAGAAATATGCGGAAAAATATCTTCATGTGTAATTGAACACTGGAGAAATTTATTTCAATAAAATCTTTTCAAACTTCTTCTGTAGGAAACGAAGAGAATGTAAGTACGGTATGCATGTCTAAGCCGGTTGCTACACAAGTTTTGTTACGTTCTCCGCATAAAACCATTGTGCCCGGTGTAGACACCTTGAACCTCTACATGACCTTTACGACGAAAAATTTATTTATTATCCGAAGAACAGGCGTAATGTCGATTGATAGATCGTAAAAAGTCAGACATAAAATCCGTGTCCTGTAAATATAAATTCAATTTATCAAAACAAGGAAATCGTCCACAAATATAACTTAATACATATTATTCTTGTTGTACATCAATTAATGAATCGTTGACTGCGACAATTGTAATTTATTACCAATTCGTTATCGAGTCTCTGCGATCCGAGGGAGTAACCACTAGATGAAATATTGTCCCAGATTACAAGATTTCATATGATTTCATCTGATTACAAATAATTTTTTTCACTATGTATGAAGTAATTTGGTAAAATCTACGATTTTATTTAATATTATACTTATACTATATTTAATATAAATGATTTCTCGTGGTTGCATATGTAATTATCGGATTACAGATGGACATTTCATATGAATTTTATAATGATTTTGAGGACTCTGTCCCACGATTTCATTCAGTGGTTACCCTCTCGCTGCGATCCATGCGTTAAAAAGATCTAATAAAATTGAATTAACAATCAGATCAGTTTCTCGGTTTACTCTTTTGACCTAATGGTGTCGGCAAGACAACGCTATTTATTTTCACTTCTTTTATATACAACCCTGGATTACATATTCTACAATATTGAAATTGAAAACGTTAGAGTATGTATTTATACATAATATGAGAATATTCTTTTTAACGTAACAGTATAAACTTTGTCTTGATATAAATCGAAGATAACGACTAAAATTTAGTGATTAGAAATTTACCAGTATTAAGATTGATCTGTCGTCTTTTTTAGTATATGTAGAACTAAGGACAATATCTTTTCAGAGTGTTTCTAATGTTTCTAACAAGAAATGATTTCTCCTCTGTAAGGACAGGTCAGTTTAATAAATTCAAATCACACAAACAATCAGAACACATACAAATGTAAATGCAACTTATATATTTAATCCATTAAAGCGCGCGTACAGATTTTATTACATAAAATTTTATTATGTAAAATTCTATTTTTCTTCACAGCGTGCGTTCTTAACATGAGTTATTCATTGTTTATATTTAACTATAGTTTTAAAGGATCGGAAAAAAATCCATTTCCAATTTTGCACGGATTTTTCGTTTTTTTCCCTAAGGGTTGAAAAATTCATTTTGGAAAAATTCGCGCGTACTCGTAAAACCTACGACGTTTGTTTCTCGGTTTTTTTCCGTAAAGAAAATAATTGAGGGTACACAGTGGGATAAGTTAACAGAAATTTTGAAATTGTATAAAAGATTGAGGTCGCATAACCCTATAAGCGCATAATATTATTTAATATTTTAAGCATATTCTTAGAATATGCTTAAAATATTAAATAATATTATGCGTTTATAGGGAACGTATTCATTAAAACATATAAAACATACACTATTGCACCATTGATGATTAAGTAAGAATTAAAAATATAGAGTCTAAATATCATGTTTATATGATAATATATTATTATATAAACATGATGTTTGGATTTAAACTGACTTTGTAACAAAATTTAAAAAAAAAACTACAAAGAGACACTTCAGGAGTTCATTAAACGGGAGTATGACAAACTAGAGCTAAAAATCTGTTTACTTAAGCTTTGCCATGTACTAAAGGAAAATTAGATTAGATTAGATAGATATTTTTACTATAAAAATAGAAAAATAACTAAAAAATTTTATTAAAAATAATGCTACATAATTTCATAGATCGCATTAATTTTATAAAGGAATTTAGAAGTTACTTATTGTGTCTTTTACACAACAAAAACAGCAATTTTTTCAAAAAATTAATTTTTCAGAAAAAAACTGCAATTTTTCCAATTTTTTTCCAGCAATTTGAAAAAAGCGGCTTTTTAAAAACTATATATTTAACTACTGATATTACGAATAAGTTATTGATTCCAACATGCTATTCAATTCTCAATCCGTTGTAATTCAGAGTGGCTATCTTAGTAGGGAAATTATGCGTCTCGAATGTCGTGATAAGATCTTTAATGTTTTCATCTGTGCTATCCGATAACAAAATGAAAGCGTATCTATCTCCATTCACAAGCTTCTCCGCGAATGAAAAACTTCGAGCAATTGCGGAATAATATCCAAGTTTGGATGCCACATGCTTAATGCTTTTAGTAGTCCTTGATTCATGTGAATAATATCTTGCAAGGTACTTTAAAAAATGTTTAAAGTTTCCAGCGTGTATGTACGGGAATCTCTAAGAGACAATCACCACAAGTATGTCGCGTAATAAAATTATACCAAAGTAGGTATACCGAAGTTCGGATAATAAGACTTATCAGTGTTTTATAATTATCTATTATATTAGTGGATGGACTATTATTATCTTCTTTTAAACAATTATATGTTTCCATGTCAATAATATCAAGCATGTTAATAATCTTAGTTTATATTATTCCATACTATTCAGGATGAAATCGATTAACAAAGATAGATTCTTCAACGCTTGAATTTTCATACTCTTCTTGCTTAGCATCTCGATTTTTATTTTATGGTTAACATTCGAGAAGACTAGCAGGATTTTCAGGTATGGTAAATTGGAAAAAGGCTTTGATATCGGCATACTTATTTCCCCTCCGTCAAATATTTTTATCTTGCCGTACGTGCACTGAGAAAAAAATGCGGTTGATTCAATTAAAATCTACATTACGGGCTGTCACTAACATAAGTAATTAATTCATATATATTTTTATTGACATAAAGGCCTTGATTATTGAAATAATAATTTATGTCTTTATGTCAATAAAAATATACATAAATTAATCACTTATGCTAGTGACAGCCCGTAATGTAGACTTTAATTGAATCAACAGCATTTTTTTCTCAGTGTGGATATTATAATACCGATCTTAGTCGAGGAATTGTATATAACAGAATCACAATCCTGAGCATAATTCGAGATCACCAGGAGATCTTGTTTGCTGAATTCGTAGAGGATGGTCCCTTTTTGCAGTAGGGATCAACGCAGCGAGAATGCGAGATATACCGCGAACGATGCCGAATTGCCCATACCGATCGGTAATTCCGTACATAGGTTCGCAATAAAACATGATAATATGTTGATATCTTCATAAAGTTATGGACGAGAGGAAAAAGAATGCAAAAAACTTAATTGATGAGCTAGATTGCTAGGTTTCGTATAATATAATCCTTCATGTAAGTGATAAAATTTTTTAATATTTCATGCAACGTAACACGAGAAAATGTGTCATTGTAATTTTCGCCAAAGAAGTGTATGAAAAATTCGCGTAAAGGTACTTTCATGTGTAACTGGATACTGGAGAAATATATTTCGAAGAAACCTGTTCGAACTACTGCTGGAGGAAACGAAGAGAACGTGAATGTGGTACGCATGTCTAAGTTGGCTACTATATAGCTTTTGTTACGTTTTATGAGTTCTCCGTATAAAACCATCGTGCTCGGTGCGGACAAGTTAAACTTGTACATGCCTTTCACGACGGAAAATTTGTTATCCAAAGAACAGGTACAATGTCGAATGACAGAGATCGTAAAAATTATACATGTAACTCGTGAATCCTGTAGATATGAATCATGTTTATTAAAGCAAGAAAATCCACAAGTACTTAGTATGATACATTCGTTGTACATTAATCAAAAATACTAACTAAATTACTTTCGTTGTACATTAATGAGAAACACTGACTGCGACAAATATAATTCATTTTATCATTTCATTATCGATTTTTTACGATCCATGCGTGAAAGAGATTTAATGAAATTCAACTTTGCTCAGCTTTTAGGCTTGTATTTGCTAAAATTGTCAGAATATACCGCAAATTATATTCTTTTTTGTACAAATCTGCATTTATTATTGGCTGCATTCAGCAGAAAAAGCAGCTTTACAACTGTTATAAAATTCTTTAATATGATTCGTCTCGCCCTATTAGTTCTTTACTGGATCTAAAGATATAAATCAACCATATTCAAGTATTTTACAATAGTTGCAAAGCTGCTTTCTCTGCTGAACGGAGCCATTGAAATTAAAAACGATTTCTTTTTTGTAAGGACAATGTAATTTGATAAATGACATACAAACAGATAAAACATAAACAGAAACGTAAATACAATACGACTGTATATGCTTCAAATTATCTATCAAAGAGCAGCAATTACAGTAAATGTCATTGTCATCTTTCATATAATTTTATGTTATATTTATTAACGTGACCGATACGAATCTTATGAGTTTATTGTTATAGAAATCAATCAATATCGCATCTAATATAAGATAAGATAATAGAATTGTAATAAAATAATATAAAATATTTGCTTATAATAAAGTATGTAATAGCGATACCAAATCTAGTATTATTGTACATGTAAATCATGTATTATATTATGCTTATTATATATATATCTATATAATATATATAATATTTATATAATTTTTGCATATTTTATTACAATTTTATTACAATAATTATGATATATTTTATTTTCATATTTTTAGGAATAAATATATTATTTTATTAATATTCCGTTATCTCTTATCTAACTGAAGAAGTGCGTATTTCAATACTTAATTCATTAATGAGTATAAAACGTACTATATAAAACTTTTCTACGTAACATGCGTCATAAATTCTTAGCATGAGCTTTTCTTTTATTCGTTGTTCATATTTAACTAGTCATACTAAATTATAGATTTCAACATGTTATTCAATTCTTAATCCGCTACAATTCAAATTGGCTATCTTGGCAGGGAAATTATGCGACTCAAACATCTTGATCAGATCTTGGATGTATTCATCTGAGTTGTTTGGCAGCAGCAAAATGAATGCGTATCCACCTCCGCCGGTGGCGGCGATTTTTCCTCCGAGTGAAAAATCCCGTGCAATTCCGCAAATAATGTCTAGGCTTGGATGTGACGTGCCTAATGCTCTTAGTAGTCCCTGATTCATGTGAATGATCCTGTAAAGTACGTTAGAAGACGATTAAAGTTGTAGTATTCAGTGTATAGCTACATATACGGGAAAGATAATCACGATAACTCTAAGAGATAATTACAAACAAATGTATTAAATTATATTAAAATTCGTAGAATGAGAGAGACTTACCACTAATACTTTATAATAGTTTATCAGACGAACTGAATTAGTTTCAACGATCTCACGCTGTTTTAAGGAATGTGTTTTTGCGTCAATCTTATGAAGCGTTCGAATAAACTTTATCGATATAGTCTCCATACTATTTAGAATAAAATCAACAGAAGAACATGAATGCTCTTTCACTTTTGTTTCCATGCTTCGATCGATTTTCTGGCTAACGTTCGAAAAGACCAGCAGGATCTTCATGCTCGGTACGTCAGGAAAATCATTTGACCTCAGTGTATCCCCTTTGAATACTTTTATCATGCCATACGTGGATATTATGATGTCGATTATAGTTGAGGAATTGAATACAATATTATCACAAATGTAAGCATATTCCGAGATATATATGAGATCTTTAGACTTAAATCTGTAGCGGACTTTTCCTTTCTGCAGGAGGGACCAACGCCAAAAACATGCCGCGAGACATACCACAAACGATGCCGAACTGCCCAGACCCTCACCGATCGGCAATTCCGTTGATAGTATCACAATGAAAGATGATTTTATAATGATGCCTTTTTTGTAGCTAATAGAAACGAGAAGAAAAAAAAAAGCTTGTAAGCTTAACTGATGTGCGTGGTTGCTGGGTTCGTAATTGCCGGGAAAGCCCGTCAAGAAGGTAATAAAGTTTTTTACTGTCCTAAGCAACATACAACGTTTATCTGCGTAATCGTAATTTTTATTATAAAAATATAAGAGAAATATGCGTAAAGGTATCTTCATGTGTAATTGGATACTGGAGAAATTTATTTCAATAAAATCTCTTCGAACTACTTTTGTAGGAAACGAAGAGAATGTAAGTACGGTACGCATGTCTAAGCCGGCTGCTACACAAGTTTTGTTACGTTGTCCGCATAAAAGCATCGTGCCCGGTGCAGACACCTTGAATCTATACATGACCTTCACGACGAAAAATTGATTTATTATTCGAAGAACAGACGTAACGTCGATTGATGGATCGTAAAAAGTCAGATACAAAATCCGTGTATCCTGTAAATATGAATTCTATTTATCAAAGCAAAAAAATCGTCCACAAATTAACTTAATACATATTATTCTTGTTGTACATCAATTAATGAATCGCGGACTGCGACAATTGTAATTCATTACCAATTCGTTATCGATTCTCTGCGATCCATGCGTTTAAAAGATCTAACAAGATTCAACTTACAATCAGATCAGTCTCTCGGCTTTTGATCTAATGATGTCAGTAAGACAACGCCATTTATCTTCACTTTTATGCAACCCTGGATTATATATTCTTCAATATTGAAATTGAAAACGTTATACATAATATGAGAATATTCCTTTTAACATAATAGTAAGTGCCTTGTCTTAATATAAATCGAATATAACGACTAAAATTTGGCGATTAGAAATTTACCAGTATTCAGATTGATCTATCGTCATCTTTAGTATATGTAGAACTAAAGACAATATCTTTTCAGAGTGTTTATAATGTTTATAACAAGAAACGATTTCTCCTCTGTAAGGACAGTTAAGTTTAATAAGCTCAAATTGTACAAACAATCAGAACATATACAAAAATAAATACAAATTATATATTTAATCCGTTAACGCGCGCGTACAGAATTATTATATAAAATTCTTTTTTTCTTCCCAATGTACGGCCTTAACATGAGTTGTTTATTGTTTATATTTAACTACTGATATTTCAAACAAATTATTGGTTCCAACATGCTATTCAATTCCCAATCCGTTGTAATTTAGAGTGGCTATCTTAGTAGGGAAATTATGCGTCTCAAACGTCGTGATAAGATCTTCAATATTTTCATCTGTGCTATCCGATAACAAAATGAAAGCGTATCCACCTTCACTCGCAAACTTCCCCGCGAATAAAAAATCTCGAGCAACTGCGCAAATAATGTCCAAGTTTGGATGCGACATGCCTAATTCTTTTAGTAGTCCTTGATTCATTTGAATAATATCCTGCAAGGTACTTTGAAAAATAATTAAAGTTTCCAATGTGTGTACGGGAATCTCTAAGAGACAATCATCACAAGTACATCGCGTAATAAAATTATACCAAAGTAGGTATACCGAAGTTCGAATAATAAGACTTATCAGTATTTTATAATTATCTATTATATTACTGGATGTTATTTTCTTTTAAACAATTATATGTTTCTATGTCAATAATATCAAGCATGTGAATAAACGTAGTTGATATTGCTTCGATACTATTCAGGATGAAATCGATTAACAAAGATGGATTCTTCGATTCTTCAATTTTCATACTCTTTTTGCTAGCGACTCGATTTTCATTTTATGGTTAACGTTCGAAAAGACTAGCAGGATTTTCAGGTCTGGCAAATTGGAAAAAGACTTTGATGTCTCGGCGTACTTATTTCCTCTCCGTCAAATATTTTTATCTTGCCGTACGTGGATATTATGATACCGATCTTAGTCGAGAAATTGTATATAACACAATCACAATCCTGAGCATAATTCGAGATCTTCAGAAGATCTTGTTTGCCGAATGCGTAGAGGACAGTCCCTCTCTGTAGAAGGGTTTACGCTAAAAGTGCGCCGCGAGATATACCGCAAACTGCCTGAACCGATCGGCAATTCCGTAGATAGTTTCATAATAAAAGATGATAATATATTGATATCTTCTTAAAGCTTATAAGGTCGAGAATGAAAAAAAATGCAATAAACTTAATTAATGAGCCAGATTTCTAGGTTTCGTATGTGCCGTCATAATCCTTCATAGAAGTGATAAAATTTTTTAATATTTCATGCAACATAACACGAGAAAATGTGTCATTGTAATTTTCGCCAAACAAGTGTATAAAAAAAGGTATTTCCATGTGTAACTAGATATTGGAGAAATCTATTTCGATGAAACCAATTCGAATTACTGCTGGAGGAAACGAAGAGAACGTGAGTGTGATACGCATGTCTGCTATATTGCTTTTGTTACGTCTTATGAGTTCTCGGTATATAAGCATCATGCCCGGTGCGGACAAGTTAAACTTGTATACTTTCACGATGAAAAATTTGTTATCTAAAGAATAGGTGTAATGTGGAGTGACAGATCGTAAAAATCATACACGTAACTCGTGAATCCTGTAGATATGAACCATGTTTATTAAAGCAAGAAGATCGTCCACAAGTACTTAGATGATGCATTTGTTGTACATCAATGAAAAACTGACTGCCACAAATGTAATTCATATTATCAATTCATTATCGAATTTTTATGATCCATGCGTGAAAGAAATCTAATAAAATTCAACTCTGCTCAGCTTTTCGGCTTGTATTTGTTAATATTGTCAGAATATACCGCAAATTATATTCATTTTTTGTACAAATCTGCATTTATTATTGGCTGCATTCAGCAGAAAAAGCAGCTTTGCAACTGTTATAAAATTCTTTAATATGATTCGTCTCGTCCTTTTAGTTCTTTACTGGTAAAATCTAAAGGTATAAATCAACCATATTCGAGTATTTTACAATAGTTGCAAAACTTCTTTCTTTGCTGAACGGAGCTATTGAAATTAAGAATGATTTCTTTTTTGTAAGGATAATGTAATTCGATAAATGACATTGTTACGTCCTGCCTTCCGTAGAAATATAAATTTTCTTCTCTTTTGTCTTTTTGTTTCGCGCTAATTTATTTTTGCTTATTTAGATTCACATCATCTATCTAAAATATTTCTATTGATTAATTGAAGATATTCCTAGCGAAAAGGATTTATTCTGCGTAGTATTGTTCCGTCATGCCGACACCGCGTGACCACCGTGTGTCGCGTAGCGCTAGCCAATCAAAGCACTCGCGAGGCGCGTGCCGCGTGCCGATGTATTGCAACAAGGATAACTCCGTGCGGAGTTATGGAATCGTTCCCATATGTTGAGAATGACATGTCATTATCATCTTACACGAGATTTAGAAAGAATTAATCTGATCGAGACATCTCAACGCCTATAACACAGCCACACAACAAAAATTTTTTTTCTGATCTTGGGGTCTGACCATGTTTACTGTATGTTTTTTGGGTCGCTGAATCCGAATCCGAGGTCTGTTTAACCCCATCACATCAGAATTTTGCCATAATGTAAGTCAATTCCAATAATCACATATGTCAGACTTTTATCTTGATAAGTACGTTATTTTAATTTATAACCGCATAACTCTGGTCATTGCACCTTTCTTTGCAATAATTTTTCTTTTGTCTCAAGCACCTGAAACATACTGTTGTGTCCTAAAAACACCTTCACCCGAAAAGTGTCTATTTTTACACTGAAAAAAAAGATTGGCTGCTGCAGCAAATTAGATGGTAAAATATGGCATAGCATTTTTAATTGGTTATATCAGTCAATTTTTGGTTGTGTTAGCCTATCGAAATCCTATACTGACATTGCGGATAGGCTAACGCAACCAAAAATTGGCTGCTGCAGCCAATTAAAAATGCTATGCCATATTTTACCATCTAATTTGCTGCAGCAGCCAATCTTTTTTTCAGTGTACGTTTACTTATAAAGAACTCGATACAGCTCGAAAAAAGAGAACAATTAAAGTAATATATTCCTTTTATCCCCAGCTTTCCAAACAGCCCTTTTAAGGGCTACATGATGTACAAAACCCGATCGTGCAACCTCCCCGCGGTGTATGTACATCGGGTAACGCCAATGCCGACGGTACAATGTTTGAAAAACTCACATTACATGAGTAAACGTAAAAATAGACATTTTTCGGGTGAAGGTGTTTCTAGGACACAACAGTATGTTTCAGGTGCTTGAGACAAAAGAAAAATTGTTGCAAAGAAAGGTGCAATGACCAGAGTTATGCGGTTATAAATTAAAATAACGTACTTATCAAGATAAAAGTCTGACATACGTGATTATTGGAGTTGACTTACATTATGACAAAATCCTGATGTGTGTGTGTGATGGGGTTAAATAGACCTCGGATTCGGATTCAGCGACCCCAAAAACATACAGTAAACACGATCAGACCCCAAGATCAGAAAAAAAATTTTTTTTGTGTGGCTGTGTAATCTTTCGGAATAAAAATAAGCTATCGCGCACCAATCACGGCCCGCGATACGCGTGTCGCTCGTCGCTGCGAATCCTTAATGGGATTTTAGCCGCTCTAACCAAGAATACTGTCAATTTTGAAGTCTCGCGTTATGTTTAAAATATTCTTTTTGTTTAATTTATTATCTTTTGGCCATCGTGACCGCCTTAATTGGTCTGTAACAGACGAGTTAACGCGAGATTGTCGCGTTAGCGAGCGCCGACCAATCGAGAGCCGGGGAAGGAGTAGCGCGGACACGGAGAGAGGCCCAAAATTTAATTTGTTAATTACTTTGAAATTCCGTTGATTAACGCGAAACTGATTTGATTCCTCAGTTCCGAAATGAATTCGTGGCAACTGTGCCGAATTTCAGTCCGATATAACCGATATTTCAATATGAAAATCATTTCCAAAATTTGTCGCGTATTACCAATTCTGGAAATTTGAGCTTCCCCTTCCCCCTCAACTCGCGAGCGCCACCGATTGGCGCCTATACAAACGGGGCGAAAATCGAGCTCCGTGTCATTCGTCATTTTCGATCGATCCGATTAAAGGACCAGACCGAGGAATATCTCGCAGAAGAGACTTCGCAAATTACAACGAATTTTTCAAAAAGTATTCATGTGTTAATTCTTCAAGGTTCCCCCTTCTCCTATACTCTTCAGATTGATTGCACTTGTAGGAGCTGCTCAGTTCTTCCTTTTCTCTTCGGCTAACTACGCTTGTAGGAGCTGCTTAGCCTACCTTCCTTCCCTGAACTGGCTGCGCTTGTAGGAGTTGCTCAGTTCTTCCTCCTCCTTTCCTCTAGACTAACTGCGCTTGTAGGAGCTGCATAGTCTATTTCCTTGCCGAATTGACTGCGCTTGTAGGAGCTGCTCAATTCTTCCTCTC